TTACTCGGCGTATATGTGGGTGCCGCTCGCACACCGAGCGGCCGGGTGTCACGCTACGTGCTTCCTGCCCGTAGGCCATAGTGCGACAAAAGGCCTTATGTCCGCCCGCTCGTGGAACACTCGTGATCGCAATGTGTAATCAAGCTCGCATGGCCACTGTATTACCACGTACGCCCACCCGTTGTACGCGCGTGCATACGCGGCAGTTTCGGTTATCCGTTTCCCGCGCAGGACACCACCGTTCTCCGGCTCATCCACCCTCCCCTCTCCCTCGTTCTTGTCCCGCCCGCCGATCGGTTTCGTAACAGCGGTGCCACGCGGCTGCCGATCGGCAAATTCCCGGCCGTTATTTTAACCGGAGAAAACCAAATGTTCTTTTTTTCTCTTTATTATTGCAAATAAGGACGAGGATGTATGCGACATACGAATTGCCTGAAATAGAATTGATGAAACTTTAAATGAGAGAAGACTGGGCAATCGCGAAAGTGGGGGGAACATACTTTTTTCTCTCTATGCAGAGAATTTAAAATTCTAAAAACTTGATATTTAAGATAAGATAGTTTTTTTTCTTTCATTTTAAGCGAAGTGTGAAAAATAGTTTTTTTTCTGGTGTTTCATATCAACATTTTTCAGATACAGATAAATACGCACTTGCATCTATATGTAAACTCTTTGTGTCATATTATATTACGATATCAAATTAATTTATCAAATTACATCGAACATTATCCATTACTCGTACAAAGAAATATAATGATGTTTCATCTGTGAATTTTCCAAATATTCTTACAAAACTCTAAAACAGGACAAAAAATGTTTATAATTCTATGTTCGCGAAAATTGAGATAACGCCGAGATGCGAATTGATTTAATTAATGAATTTATTACGAACTTTTATAAGTGCCTGCTATTTATGATCGGAATCGCCAAATACTCGAAAGGAAAACGTACTCTCCAATGATCGCTCGTTTCATCTCTTAAAAAAAATAGAATATGATTCGGCGATCATATCAGGAATACCTTACGCATATCGAGAGAAAAAGCACGTTCATTTTATCTAATTTATTCGAAGTAGCTAGCAGTATCGAGAAACACGTTCCTGTCTCGCGCCAAATGTCACGCGTGGCAAACGGAAAGGAACATCGCTCCTTCTCTCGTAAAAAAAAACAGACTGGTCGAATTAAAAGCATATGCAACTGAAAAAAATAATTTCTTTGCCTCTCTGCTGACGATAGGAGAACCGAAGATATTTACTATTCGGAAAGATACTCGCGCGTTTTTTTCTTATCTCGGCTCCAGCTAAGTAATTAAGATTTTTTACCGATCGTAAAATGAATTGTTTGCTTTGTAATATTAAAATTTGTAAGTGAGTAAATTCGATAATCGCAATTAGCGAGCTTGCGACATGGCTTCACAAGAGTTTCGCGTGAAAACTCGTTCGCAAACTTCAGAATTCGCAATATTCAGAAAATCACATCGTCAATCCTGACGATTTCGCACAAGTCGACGAACGGGAATCGAGCTAAAGGAGTCGAAGGAATGACGATAAACAAGCGAGGCAATTTGCGAATCAATACAGACATATGTTTTCGACGCGTGGCCAGTTAACGTAAAATTTTAAGTGAACATTCGCGAAACAGGATTGGGCGTATGATTAACGCGAAGGATACGAACTCTCGCAAAATAATACGACCTGTCATACTAAATGTCATCTATGAATTGCGCAAAGTTCGCCTAAATCTTTTCGTAAATGCAGCGTGATTTTATTTTCAAGTGCCAAAGGATCAGCGTAACGGGATACAAGCAAATCTGCGCAAGTATTCCCGGTCTTGTTGTCTCATTCACCGTAAGAGCCATGTGAGATGCTACATCCGCCCTTAACTACTTTTATCGATCATCCATCAGACTACCGAGACTATCGTAAGATAGTTTGATTAGTTGCTTTACATCCGATCGGATCACTGCCTAAGAAGGATTATAAATATAATGCGGATATAACGTGATCCTCGTAACTAATCTTACAAGGCGCGTACGCCTTTCTTTGATATTTAATTTTTTTCGATAATTTTCTAATTATTTTTTAATAAACCGTATAATATATCATAACTCGTAATCCGAAAAGGAATAAACCAACGAGAAATGTTTGAACGTTCCGAACTTTAAATGTTACGTGTTCCGTTGAGTGTGCCACGTAGGGTCAATCGTTAACGAGAATTTATCGATGCAAGGAATGACGTTCAATCTAACGCACTGAAGCATCGAACAATGCGGCGAAATGCCGCGCATTAACAAACTCTTCAGAAAAGAGCCGCGAATGTGGGATCGGGACGCACCATCGCGGATAATGACGCGTTACATAGGTACCGCAAACGAGTGCTTCGGATTTTCCAATTCAACCCCCGCGCGCGCGCGCGTTTTCCACACCGACCGCCTACGTCGAATCAAATCGCTGGTGAAAAGTGCCGCGTTAAACGCAACGATCGCGCGCGCGATCGAAAGAGCGGCCCTCTCGTGGCACTTCGAAAACTCGATAACGAGACTTTTCTCGACATTTCACGGCGAAATAATGAGAGTGAACGTGACAAACGCAACACTCGACCGGACACCTCTAGAATGATTCCTCTCTGCCGAATCGAGAAGAGAAAAAGAAAGAGAGAGGTTGCATGAAAAAGAAAAATTATCCTCGTCGCCTCGCGAGAGGATCGATCGAATGTATAGCATCCAGCATGAAACGGGCGCGCCATTCGCGAAACGGCGGCCCGTTAGATCCCGTCGGAGAAACCGTCGAACGCTCTCCTCGCTCGAGTCCCGGAGTGGCAGTAAGTTGAATTCCCAAACGGGCGGGTGTGGCGACCGGCCCGCAACGGGTACCGGAACGGACGAATGCCGCTGTCTCTCCGTCGTCGTTCTCTCCCCGACGCCTTCGTGAGGACTGCCTATTTCTCTCCGTCCCGTGAGAAGAAAAGAGAGAAATAGAGAAAAGCGTCTCCACTCGAAAATAAATAATACGGATTTCATCGATCTCCTCGATCCGCGCCGTCGTTCGCGCCTATCGATCGATCGCCGGTGAGAAGCATCTACCTTTCACAGTCACAAAGGAATTTTTAGGCACAATCTAGAAGTGGCAATACGATCGAGACAGAGAGGGAATACGCGGAGATTAGAAATAGAGCGTATGATTGACGGTTCCTTTTAGCAGAGAAGAAACGCGTTCGCTGCGTTCGCGAAATTCTTCTCAATATCAATTTTATTCTGGAATGTGAGAGTAAGGCGGAACACATGGAAAATCGATTAATAATTTACAGTACTTATCTATACGATATGATATATTGCGAGGTCGATCTATCTCGGAATATTTCCGCGAATGATTTCGTCGTTAAAGAGTTTATTACTATGGATGATCGTCTGATGAGGAATAAATGAGATCACTAATTGATATTAACTAAAAAAATCACGTGTTACTTTGTGCATTCACTGTTGATGAAAAGGAGATTAAACTCTATCAGTCGCGACGATCCGACGGATGATCCACAAGAGTAGATATATATATTTTTTTTACGTTTTCAAATAGATTTTCCACCAATCACGTTTTAATTCCACGCAAATTCCTTCGTTCAGCCGTATTTCAGTTATAAATGTTAAGAATAATCCCCGACAGATAAGATCTCGATCTTATCGAAGACTAAACGCACAGATGAGGAAATAACTTTGAGACATGGCAAAAAAACGTAGAAAATCGCGCGAACAGTTTGACAATCATAAAGTAATGATCGGAACTCACTTGAGAATCGTCGTCTTCGCACTGTCACTTGGAAATCACACGCATGGTCGCTCACACACTGGCGAAGATCGGCGCGAAATCCGTGCTCGACTCGCGAAGCCGCTTTCGGGACAAAGAGCCCGGATGAAGATCGGAAAAAGAGAGAGGAAAAAAACGAGATCTCTTGGCACCGTCACCGATCTCTGCAACGGAACGCGGCTCTTCCGTATCCACCACGCGCGTCCACCAAGTGTGCGAGATCCGTGCCGCGTGTCTGTCCGAAAGTGTCACCTCCCTCTCTATTTCTCTCTCTCTTTCTCTCTCTCTCCCTTCCTCCCTCCCTCTCTCTGTCTCTCTCTCTCCTCGGGCAACTCTGATGTGTCGGCGAAGATCCGTGAAAGGAGGAAGAGACGCGAGATCGTCCCCACAACCCGGTCTCGCGTGGACGAGCGTCGTTGGACGCTCGGTGGCGGCCACTCTTCTGTGCTTCGCTTTTTCTTTTTTTTTTCTCGGCTCTCGTCTTCCACCGGGTAACCACCAACCCGACGATGTTGACGTCGCGCGGCAACGAGGCGAGTAAAGGAAGACCACGACGACGACGGCCGGCAGGAGGAAGAGCGGCGGTGGAAGAGTAGAGGAAGGCTGCGCGGGGGTGGGGAGAGAGGAGGAGTAAAAGGCAGAGCGAACGAGAGAGATAGAATGAGGACAGACGGACAGAGTGAGTGAGAGAAGGCGGGGGAAGTGAGACGAGAGGAGAGAGAGACGAGAGGAGACGGAGAGAGAGACGAGAGAGAGAGAGAGAGAGAGAGAGAGAGAGAGAGAGAGAGAGAGAGAGAGAAGGAAGGACAGCGAAAAGGAAGAATCGGAGCAAGAACGAGCGCCGGCAGACTGGGTTGACTCGGTGGCCGAGCGGTATCTCACCCGCGAAAAGCGTCCCGCGATCAGGTGACAGCGGGAGTACACACCGGCGTTACTCCCGAGAGCGAGAGGGAGAAGCGGGATCGAGAGACGCGAGAGAGGAGTCGAAAATGGAGAGGGAGGATGACTGGCTGCGGTGGCAAGACGAGGACGGTCGAGTCGCGAGCGAAACGTGGAGGGGGAGCGTAGAGTGGCGTGAAGGAGGAATCAGGCGGGAGGCTAAACACGTCGGAAAGAGAGAGACAGAGAGAGAAGAGAGAGAGCGTGAGACAGATAGGACGAGACGCAGGAGGGTGAAAAAGGGGATAGAGAGCGAGCCGACGGAGATAAGAGACGGAGAGAGCGATAGCCGGTGCTCGTGCGTTCGCCGAATGTAACTCGACTGGCGGAGAGGAGGGCGAGGAGAGATGGGACAGAGTGGGATACGAAGAAACGCCGCGCGCTACGGACGGAGAGGGAGAAAATTTCAAGAGGAAAAGAGAGAGAACGACTCGCGCACGCGTGTATGTGTGTACGTGTTCGTGTGTGTCTGTGTGCGTCTGTAAAACTAGAGAAAAAGGGAGACAGAATCGGAGCGAGGGAGATGAGGGAGGGCGACCGTGGGCGACGAGGAAAGGCGAAGTGGGGTGCCGACGGAGAGCCGACGAGAGAGCGTACGAGCGGGGTGGCCGGCAGGGAGGCAGAGAAGGGCTCCCTGATCGCTTCTGAGTGCAAACGGTTCGGCGTGCGGTGGGACACTGGCAGTCAGTCGGGCGGGCGGGCTGGCTGAAACTGCTGTGGATAGCGGGTGGCGAGCGCGGCGCGGCGCGGCGCGATACTCGTACGGGAACGGGACGGGACGGGCCGAGAGCGCCGAGCCGGGCCGGGACCCCCATCTAACACACGCTTACACACGGATGTGCGCGCGGCGCATATACACGCCGAAGGCCGGGACGCTCGCGTGTAGTCGCCACCGACAGAGGCACCGCGCGGAGAGGCGCGGCAGACACAGACGCGCATTTACACGGATAGAGTCGGAGTCGGGCTGTCGGACGGTCGGTCGGTCGGCCGGTCGGCCGGTCGGCCGGTCGGGCGGATGCGGGATGTCGAGGGAGGAAGGGCAATGAGCAAGGTAGGCAGGCAGGCAGGCAGGCAGGCACGCAAACAGCAAGCAG